CTCACTGCACAGGCCCGCAAGCAGGCCCCTTCCCGGCTGGTTCGGTCTCCATAGCGGGGAGTCACTGCGGAAAGGAGTCCGTGTTGCCGAGCCAGAGACACGTTCTTTCCACAGAAAGCGGCGGCTGGCACGGCGAGGCGGTCAGGGCAGCAAGCCTCCTCCGTACCGGGACCTGATGTTCCTTTTCCTAGGCAAGAGCAGCTGGAATCCCAGGAATTTCAGACCATTCCCAGATGGTACTAAGCAAGTCGTAATGGGTTTCAGGAGTCGAGGGTCGTCTCAGGGACGAAACTCGGCGGGAATTTGTGCGTTTCGGCACAGGGAGTTTGTGTGTTTGGAGGCGCGGGGTGGGTCTGGGCAAGGGGCTGTCTCGGGAAAAGGGCATTCCACGCAAGGCACGGTGACCTCCAGGAGCGTCCTGGCTCCAAGAGCTGCGCTAATCATCATTTGCATAACGGGTGGTTTGGGTTTTTCTTAATTCCTCGGTGTACAAGCAAGAAGCGACTAATGATTTGGTGCCATTTGTACACGTGGTTGCAGGCAAAAGAATTGAGTGTCCTATTCTAGGTCAAAAACTAAGTGACGGCCAGAATTCAGAATCTAGCCCTACTTCCTGTCCAACACCAAACACTAGCACCGTACTTTTGGAGCGATTCACACCCTTCCATGTCACACTGTTTGATGCTTCTAATGGTACTACTTTACCACAGCTTTAATTTCACCGCAAGACTGGCAAGATACCAATCCTGAAATATGCCTTGCATAGGTGGAAAAGAACTATTATCCACTTGGGATACTAAATCTCATGTGCAATCTCAACAAATTTCCACAAACGCAGCTAGAACCACTGTTCCATTAAAGCTATTTGCTGCAGGACCATGTCCACAGTTTACGAACAAGTCACGAGAATACTGTCTTCCCATTCACTGGAGCAGTTTCTGCACTTCCGTTTGTAAAAGATAGATCTCATTGACATCATCTGAATGCGTCTTCACCTAGTTATTATCCTATTAAAATAATTATGCCTCCATTTTGATCAGCAAGAATTTTTGTCTTATACTTTCACACGCATAATGATCTATTTCCTAGAGTGGACACAAATAAGCATTTATCTCATTAGGATCATGTCTTGGTTTTATTAACTGTCCTTTGTATTGCAGTTATAATTTCCATATTCTTGGCAACATGCATTCCAATGTGTAAATTCTTCAGACCGGTTCTTGGAATAAACAATACAGCCTTCTGAAACAACCAAAATTAACTGTTCTGAGCAGAGCATGGGAATATGTGTGAGAGGCTGGGAAAGTGGGGGAGACAGCTCAGACTGGCCCCTGATTAGAGATTTCCAAATCATATGAGTACCCTGTGATACATAAGACATTTCAAAACCTCCCCTATGCAGGAAGGTACAGAAAGAAATTGACACTGAAATGCAGAGGAACTCACAAGTTTACATTCTTTCTGGGTTGAAGTTGGCCAGATAATTTCTAGTCACCATGTAAACTAAAAACTTTAAGAGAGAGTTCCACAGCCATTTAAATTCTTGTACGTGAGCTGAGACTGCCACAGTTGAAGTTAATCCTCGATTCCTGGGAGCCTAGCAAAGACTGCCCATTCTGTATTGGACAAACAACAGAGTAATACTACAAAGCCTTTACCGTGGAAAAATTACTGATTAATAGCTCCTATAAAGGGGATTATCCTTTCTCTTTGGAAAAAGTTGAATTGAGAAGCTGTTTCATGCATCAATGTATCTTTTTGCTCTTCTTGTTGCATTATTTTCTTTCAAACTCTATGTCATATAAAATATCAACAATTTGATAAGGTGACTTGCCATCCATTCAGGTGTTGTATCACAGGTGAGAATGGCTTTACTTATCTACTGGCAACTGGCTTAGAGAAAAAGAATTTCAAAGCTTTATTCAAGAAAATCCAGATCTTCATTTTCAGATATGACCTGAAAAATGTGCTTCAAGAGTACAAGCAGACAAGATGATGGGTGTTGTGGTTGTCTGAGGTGAGTCACTGTTCTGCTTCCACCCTGACAGGGGAGTAACTTGGATTTATCCTGGCACTGGTATGTTCTGGGGTGGTAATTTGCCTTTGGGGATATTTGTGACGTATTTTGTTTCTCTCTTCCCATGTTCCCTTATCTTACACCCATTCGTACTGTGCATTGCTTATGACTGAGGAAAAACCTTTACTTCAAAGCTTTTGAAGTAGATACTTTGGTTTATTGTACTCAAGTTAATGTAATTTTCTGACCATTCTGCATGGAAGTGACAAACAGTGTACCTGTGCTTATTAATGAGGGTCTGAGCTTGGACAAGTGACTGCCTTTCTGCAAGTCAGTCCCTGGCAGAAAAGTTACATGAGTGATGATACCAGAGCTACCATCACAATGGGCTGTAAGACAGCAATGAGATTATAAGAAGAAAACAAGTTTAGAAATGAGAAGTCATTTTAACTGTGTGGAGCTGTGCAAGAACTCTTGGCATATGTATGGCATTCATACCTGGCCTCTTTGCTGTGTATATTCAGCAGACAGCACTGTGACCATTTAACTGTCTATGCCTGTCTATATCGACTCACAGAGGTCATGCACTCTGTGGGGGTAATGATAGGGGCACAAAAGACACCCTGTGCCTGTAACATCTCAGTTCCCTTGCAGAGGAAAACAAGGCTTATAAAAGTAGACAGCACAGTCTGAAAAACTCTGTAACAGAAGTTACCTTAAGAAATCATCTCAAAAGGGAAGCCCTTTCAGGGATTTTCTGTTGTGGGCAACATGAAACTCAAAATATGCAGAAATGAAGGAGAACAGTA